CCAACGTGTTAATGACATTAGTTTTCATAAATTCCCTTTATCGCGTAGTACTACAATTGCTCTTGCTTTTTTTAATTATTAGGTGCCAGTTCATTTGTATAAAAAAAAGAGGCTCAATTAATCTCCATCTCAGATGGAGATTAAGTTCAAGCCTACAAAAAAGCTAAACCAACCACAATAACACAAGTTAAGAGGCATAAAAAACCAATATCTTCACTGAGGCTACCGCTTTCATTCAGCCAAGTCGGGGAGAGCCAAAATGGCTTACCAGGCGAGGAACAGCGGCAGATTGTAAGTTCACTGCGATTTTCGGTACTTCAAATCTTTAAAATGATTATATTTGAAGAGCTGGGTGATCTCTTTTGAAACTTAGCAGAGGTCTTTCTCATTCATCTGAGATACCATAATTCAGAGGCTCGTACGATATTGAATGAATATAAGTAAATAAACCAGCTCCTTTTTGAGATGTGTAGTTTTGACTTCTGAGGACGGCATGGCTAGGCATAGCCAGCAGCTAGGATTAATAAGTATGAATAAGTAGTTTGAGAAATCATTACCACTTTTGAGCTTCTTGCAATAATAATTACCAACGAGGAGGGGGAATGTCTGCATAGAAGGGCCTAGCAAATATTTTCCTTTTATTGGCGACTTAGAAAAGTGCAATTGACAGCGAGTAGGTCTTTATCAGCTGACAACTGTTGGTTCCCTGATACGAGAAGAAAAATGTTGGCATGGGTCTGAGCATAATGAACAACTAGCCAAATGTGACATACCTACAAGAGAGTCTCTTTTATCGCCAGAGCCAGACAGGGTAACGATTCTTTTAATAGCTACGACGATGTTTCAGGAGACGATCCAGGTAATCCTGGAAGGGAATTCCATTGGTCTTTCCTGAGGGATGTTGTCATCCCTAAGGGAAGTGCCAACTTCACCGTCCTGACTTTTGATCTAATGGCTTGGAAATCCCAGCTGCGACAAGAGCTCTTCAACATGAAATTCAGCTTTTGTTCCTAATTAGTGTTACGCACAACACAAACACTAAAGGCATACTAGGTGTCTCGTCTGTTAAAGTATCCATGTCAATGCATGGGTACCCATCGATGCGATGTGACGGACTGGGTTTCACTGAGAGTGAAATTCTGATGACTGCAGCTCGTTACTTTCATGCTTTAAATATTGGAGTAGCGCCCCACATTCCATAAAGTTTTCTTGCCCAAGGTAGCGGCACTTCGGATTCGTTGGATTTGTGGATTGGACTCTAGCGGGATACATCCACCACCGGGTCATTCGAAAGGGGGCCGACATCAAGGCGGTTGAACTCGTATTGCCTTTGGTATCATTTCCCATAGTGCAGATGACAGCTGCTATACGTATATAGCGACATCCGCCTTCGGATAGGAATGGCATTAAGAGTTCAAGAAACACCATACGCCCGCAGTACTTCTTAACGTTCGAGAGATGAGTGCAAAGAGATAAGTTTTGGAAATACGAGCATGAGACATGAGTACAAAACGAAACAACTTGTTAACGACGCACACAATTCTCCATGCAATTCCCAATACGCGAGCTCTGATATTTATAAACCATAATAACAAACGTCAGTGCTCCCGGGGGAGAGGAGCGTCCTGTCCCGAGGCCTGCTTTGGAGCTAAATAACTTCCTTTCTGGGACCACTGAATGTCGTATCCTACGTCCAAACTTCAGAGAGATTGCCTAAAAACTGAATATTTATTTCATTATTCTTTTTTTTTCCCCTGTTGCCCTTGTGTATATATATTTTTAAAGCAGGCCTATGTTCATTTATGCATATGATTGGAGAATTAACGAGCGGAAAGGCCTTTATAATTAGCCAGGGAAAAGCTACGGCTTTCGGGTGATTAGGTATTTGTCCGACTCAGAACGGACATGCCTGCACAGCAAAACTTTTAACTGACTCATCTTGTAGAAAACGAATGCGAAGAGGCAGTGATGCGTCATTGCTTCTGCATTGAGAAGCGATGCAAAACCTCCAAGAATGATCGATTTGGATGAGAACATGGCTCCAGGTTCCCTCGTACTTTAGTCAGAAGCCACAGCTTAGCTGCTGAAGATCCTCAATGCTTACACGGGAGACATTTAACTCATTTCGGCAGCAGTCATGTCATCATCGCGACTTTGTTCAGTGACGGAGTCTTGAGGAAAGCAAAGCATTTAGTCGGCCTGCCACGATGGTTCGTGTCTTGAGTTGCAAGCTAAGTTATACGAAGCGATCTGAGGGGACAATTCAGGTCGCGTCGCAAGCTTTCTCATCCTCTAACTTGGGTATATTGCCTGGATCCTAGGGTGATTTCTCATTTGTGAGCCAAACGACTTGTCACTTTTTTCACGCCTGGTTTAGAGTGAAAGATTCAATTCCGGGTCACTCACCATGACGACCGTGACCTCATTGAATGAGGGAAAAGGCCGTTCTGTCGATATATAAGGTTATATCACTTTCTTATTGATATATCTCACCCCAAAGGCACATCAATCATTACTCTTATTCGGGAACGACAGAAAGAATTCAATGGCGGAAGGGGAGAATAAAGGAGGTTCCCAGTTTCCTGGCCGACAGGAAATACGTGTATAATAAGAAAAATGGGGAAAGACAATACTTACCTTTCATGGAGCTCTTGATACCCTCGACCTGACCCATGAGTTCCGCAATCTTCCCCTGATATAAATTTCGTTGATTTTCCACCTCTTGACTCAGTTCATGGACGAACTTCCTTTCCCGCTGCTTCTCTTGCACTCCAAGCACATCCTAAATGTAGGGTGTCCAAATCCACATCATTCTAATGTCACATTTACACAGATGGCATTTGAAACTCCAGAAAAAAAAAAGAGGGGAAGGAGGGGGAAGCCGTCGACAGGCTCAGAAGAGTCGCTTTGAACGTACATAGGAGTGCAGCAAGGAAGATGCGATATAAGCGTGACCGATCTCTCTCTCCCTCATCTTCATCACTAATGACATTAGTGGTCCTGGGAACACCCACCATTCGCCCTCTCCAAATGAGCCCCCTCTACCTCATCCCTATTCCCTCCGAATGCCAAACCAGCACTCCCTTCACGTCATATTAAGTCAATCGAGCGACAAGGAAGAGGGGAAACAGAAGTTCAACCGGATCGTAAGACAACGAGTCATCCGGTCGATTAGTCAGGCTTACAAGTTATCAACCAATCTCCAGATTCATAAAAGTGGGATACTTTCCTAAAAATTCAAGAGCTTCTCATGAAAAAGCGAGACAAAATAAAAGTTTATTGGATTTTTCTCGGCCCTGTGGCATTTTTCCATTCACACGTCATACCTACAGAATCCAAGAGAGAATCGAAGCGACAAGGTTTTTCAGTATTTGCATGGTTTAAAATCACCATCAGACACGGCGATAACGGCCGACATGTTTCCTTCCCAGTTTCATAGTTAGGACTAGAAATCCGTTAAATGTCTCCAGTCCATTCTAATATTGTGAGTAGTACGCAATGGGGAATCGAGATGCAGGTTTCCGGCGTCAGGAATGGGAATGACAGGAATGAGGGAAACGAGAAAGTGGGAGCGAGAACTCCACTGTCAAGAGGGACAAGAAAGGGCAAAGCCATCAATTGATGGGTCTTTCGTTTCGGCCCCATCAAGTGCCTGATTGTGGCTGACCCGTCCTTCACCAGACCCAATCCAGGCCAGAGGGGCATGATGAAAGTTTCATCAAGGGAAGCCCCATTTCTTAGGTTTTACTCGTCTCTCTTGTATGGTATGTTGGTATGGGCTACGTCTTGCACTCAAGGGTCACGTGAGGCTCCGGAGGAGTGATGAGCCGTCCCTCTGCTAAACACGCGATCTCGCTTCATTCAGTCAGGTGGGAGAAAAGAAGATGGATATAAAATGAGAGAAGGGTTGGAGAAATAAAACCAGGTCAGCAGGGTTGGGGTTTATTGGAGAGGGTTTGGAAAGTTTCAGCAAGTTCAGATAGGGAGAGAGAGACGGGGAGTGAAAGAGAAGGGCAGAAGGGTAAAAAGAGAGGGATAACGTGAGGCATGATTAGAGGATTCCGTCGCAAGCGGGGCCATGGGCTCCGGAGTCAGGGGGGAATGACGACTTGGTCGGGCCAAATGGGTTCTTCAAGCGACTAACCTGGAGATGCTCTGCATGGGCAGCCGCCTGCCGTCTCATCTGCGTCTGCAGATCCGCCTCGAATTGCTCTTTCATCTGACTGATCTATGACCCCACACAAAACACTCAATTGTCATCGCACTCATCTTCATTCCATTTCACGGACTTTGATTTGACCACTTTCTCACCTTATGCTGGTAGTTTTCTTCGAGTCTTTTCAACTTTCGAGTGTGTTCCTTGGTGGCCCGCTCATCGGCTTCCTTTCGGGCATCGGTCGTGTGCTTTTCGAGCACACCCTTAATTCGCTGCTGCTCCAGGGCCTACAAAAAAATAAAAAATAAAAACAAATATGCATATAATTTCTCCAGTCCAAGGGAGAGAAGAAAAAAAGAAACACAAAGGAGTGAGGCAGGGACTTCAAAAATGAAGAATCCTAACTTCTTCAGTCAAGCATAGAATCACTGTTGGCATCTGCTGCGATGGTAGAGGGGAAAATGCATCAACGGATTTGCATTTTCATTCCTCCTCTCCCTGTCTACTTTCCTACACTACATTAATCCCGTGATGGCCCTCTGGGACCTTAAAGATCTTTGTATACCCTCCAGAGAATACGATGGAAAAACTCCGTGCTTTCAACAACTGGAAATCGATGGAATGAAAAATTAAGCATTGAAGTTCGTCCCGTGAGGACCTGAGCCGAGATAAAGCAAAATGCTCGATTAACATGGAGATAAGAGGAACAGAGTGAGAAGCACTTGGCTCCCATAAATGAACAAAGCCTCATGAAAGTTGAGGGATAAAAGTGGACGGAAGGGGGGAGGGGCAAATACGTACAAGAGCGTCATCGATTCAAGTTCCGTTCCAACCCACGCAAGGACAAGCACTCCCCTTTCTTCTTAACTCCCTGCTGACAGTCCGTGAGGGAAGATCCCTGTCACCTCTCTATCGAACAAACAGTCTCCTTTTCATTAGCGTCCATTTCCGGGGACTTGACATAAGACTTAGGACATGCCTCTGCTTCTCACACGATACCCCGAGCATACAGTGCCTCCAATATCTGGTGGAAGGCGGGACGAGGGTCTATACCACAGTAGGCATTTTGCAAGCGTGGGCCATTGCTCGGGCGTACCGCGAGCTCTTCATTGACACATTGCAGGAGAGAAAACATGAGGTTCAGCTCTCTACAACTCGTAAAAACGAAGGAATCTTAATAGAAATTTTCTAATATAGAGGGAGGAGGGCATGGAAGTAAAAAAAAAAACGCTGACTTTTGCCCTCTTAGTCTCTGCTTTTCATGGTTATTTTCACGAAATTTGCCCCGTGCATAGATTGATGTTTCCGAGAGACATGCCCAACGTCGCTAAAATTCATTACATCCAGGCAAAGCTATAAGCAATTGTTAAGAAGTTGGAAATGGAAAATGGAAAGGAGCTCTTGCTAGATGCCCAGTGAAAGAAAAACCTACAATTTTGATCGCATGTCATCCAAGCCATCTTGAGTACCTTTTCCATTAAAATTCATTCTTTAGATTCGTCTTTAGCTGCAGATGGTCTTCTTAGTGCCTTTTCCCACAATAAATAGCTGATGAATCAACAGGTATCAATACAGAATGTTCTCCCAAGTTTTTCCAGATTTTCCTTTTCGTTTACTTTGGAGAAGACAGGTGGAGCACAGTCTTCGAAGGGTTCGTTCATTGTCAATTTGATATCTTTTGAAGGCTCAAAACCTTATTTTCTTAAAATACAGGGTGGTTAAAAAAAACGCTCTACCGTTTTCTATGGGAGAAACACAATTTCATAAATGTAGCAAAAAAATTACTTTGGATACGCAATCGATATTTGACAGTTACAAGGTGTTGAAATGCTTGTCAGCTTTTTTTCAGCACCCTTGCCTAAGTCGTGCAATGCCCATTTAGAGGTGAAGTAAAGGGGTGCTTAGAGGTGGATCATCCCACCTCAAGTGAGGCGATTACCTGTTATTGACCGTCTCAGAATTCAAGGAATTTTTCAACTTTAACTTTTCAAGGGACTGTTGGATCCAGCTCATACTTGACTGATGGTCATACTGAGTGGTTCATGAAGCTAAGGGTTTTTTTTTCCAACTTCTGCAAGATGGCGCTGTATCCTAATAGAGGGCGCTGTTTTGACCGGGTGACCGAGGGTGATTTAAAAAAGGCTCCACCGTTTTCAAAGGGGAGAAAGTACGATTCGTGCTTTCGAGTAAAAAATATAAAAGATTCATAAGCTCTCGATATTGGACATATAGGAGAAGATTATTATTTTTTTCTTAACAATTCTTTGAGCCATGTATTGTCCTGTAACATAGTTTACAGGTGGAGCATTACACTTTTTTTTTAAATCACCCTCGGTCACCCGGTCAGCAACAGCGCCCTCTATCGGGATACAGCACCATCTAGCGGAAGTGAAAAAAAAAACCCTTAGCTTCATGAACCACTCTGTCAAGTATGAGCTGGATCCAACAGTCCCTTGAAAAGTCAAAGTTGAAAAATTCCTTGAATTCTGAGACGGTCAATCACAGGTAATCGCCTCACTTGAGGTGGGATGATCCACCTCTAAGCACCCCTTTACTTCACCTCTAAATGGGCATTGCACGACTTAGGCAAGGGTGCTGAAAAAAAGCTGACAAGCATTTCAACACCTTGTAACTGTCAAATATCGATTGCGTATCCAAAGTAATTTTTTTGCTACATTCATGAAATTGTGTTTCTCCCATAGAAAACGATAGAGCTTTTTTTTTTTCAACCACCCTATACATTAGGAGGAAACCTTAAAACACTATTGGGAACATATCGGTCTATGTACAGAGCAAGGTTCGTGAAATAGCACCCTAAGAGCAGAGATCAACGTTAAAGTTTGTTTCTTTTTTGGTCCTACCCTGTATACAAAAATACAAGGAATTTCATAGGTTGTTGCCCAAGGTGTGTGGAGTGTCGTCCGGGTATGTGTTCGCCAGGGAGCCTCAATTTTTGCAAGAAATGACAGACTGCATTTTCAATATGTTCCCAGGACTCGACCTCGACCTTTACACTACGTTCTGCCGCTCAGTGGTTACGAGGTGATCGGTGCACAATTTGAGCACCGCTGCTAGCGCGATGAGGTACCAGTCAGATGACTTAAGAAACGCCTTGTATGAGAAAGCAAACAGAAAATTGAGGCAAGGATAGGAGTTGGCGTAGACACTGCCGAGAGGAGATTCGGTTCTTTACTTCCCCGCAACCTATGGAAAACGGAATAGAATGAAATAAAAAAAAGAAGGCGGCATTAGATGTAGCCTGGTAATGCCAGTGTCAGCGACAGCATTCATTTAATCCGAGGAAGGAGGGGGGGAAACGAGAGAGATCGACCACAACAAGAGGGCTCAGCCCGTTTATCTCCTTCAATGGATGGATTGAGAGATGCAGAAAAACACTGCGTAGACAAGGAACTGACCTGAATGTTCCTTGCCTAACGCTCATTTCTTTCTCGGTCCTTACCAGACTATGACTATAATAATTAATTTCAACTCAATCTTCCGAGGTTTCCCTTGCAATCGGCATCTACAGTATCATAGTGGAATTCGTCGTGATGGAACTAGGCCGGAACAAATAAGCATCGGTATTTCCTCGATCTCTCTACACGCCAGACAGCTGCCATCGTAGATCATAAAGATCCATATCCATTCAACTTCCTATTTACATAACCCGCGTTCACGCATACAACTAAATTTAATATTTTCAAAACTTCATGCACTCGACAAGGTCTTTCAATCTAGGAAGTCTCAAACGTAGCTTCCAAGCATTTCCTCAGATGTGGAAACACCAGTTCAGGAACACATGGCAAGGCGTTCCCAAGCCGATTCCGGCCAAAATTGAGATCTTGCTTGCCCCTCATCCGGATTGAACGGCTGGGAAAAATTGGATGCTTGCTGCGATGAGGGCTGAATTGAAGCTATCAGCAAATGAGGGAGAAGACCTTTCCTACCACTCGCTCCTCCGTCCCCTCGCTTTAGGCTACATGCATTCATTTGCTCGTTTTTCCTCTGTCCCCTATTTCTTCCTTTTCTCCCTCCCCCTCATCCTCTCTCGGGAATTCAGGGGGGAGAATGCAGAATTCTTGTGAAGCGAAGCAGGAAATGCGAAATGAAAATACCGTTCGTTCCCTTTATTCGCTCAATGCAAGAGCGAGGGAGGGTTGGTTGCAGTAGAAAAGCGGGGAAGATGAGAAGGGGAATAGGAAAAGATACAGAGTAGAAGGGAGCGCTAGGAAATAATATGAGGTTGCCTGGCCTAAGAAGCGGCAGGGGGAAATATAAAAAAAAAAACCACAAGAAAGGACCGACTATCTTCTACCCTAAGCGAAGCGAGCCGAGCCGAGCCGAGCCCAGCCCAGCCCAGCCCAGCCCAGCCTAGAGGGGTGGTGGGGGAAGAGAGGAAGAGAATGGGAGAGAGAGAAGGAAGTGCAATAAATCACATCGTCGGTTCTTCAATCAATCTATATCCCAGATTGCTGCTTTCCCAACCATTCTATCGAATGTTCCATTTTCCTTATTTTTCCTTCCTCTTCTATCTTTTCTGCATCCCTCCTTCGTCTGCCTTATCTCTCCGCTCACTCGAGAACCAGCGAATGAATAAATGAATAAAAGCGTATTGACCAGTGACCATGTTGGCCTACTAGCCCCTCGCAAAAGACGATGGGAGGAACAGGCTTGAAATTCTTTCTCTTTTCGATCCTCAGGAATGGGGAGGTCCCGCTACCTCAGAAGCAGTTCTCAGTCGCCTTGACAAGAAGAAATCCTCACAGAGGTCTGAATGACTATTAAGGCGTGCTAATTTGAGAATGTTGCCTCTTTCTATCTGATATGTCGATATGAGGGTACCTTTGGGAAGGAGATCCCAGAGGGAGTTCAACAACGGATACGAAATATCAACGAGTGCTTCAGATGTGCAAGCGAATCCCTCAACGTCAGTGCCGCAACCAGCCAGGGTTCGAAGTTCACATGACCTGTCTTTCAAATGTCTCTGAATGCAAGAAGGTGTTATCAAATCATCAGGAGAAATATACTCAGCAAAAACGCGAAACAACGCGAACAAAGAAAATGAAACGAAAAAAATTTTATGAAATGGTGGAAACGGAATTTGAACAATAAATGATGAAAAATACATTTGATATCTGAAAAAGCTTAAAATGAACTAATTTGATTTCGGGATTCTGCCCAAATATCACTGCGCTGATGTGCAACTGGAAATTCGTTAACCTGTACGATTCACGCCTTTTATTTGAATTGTCGTCCTTCCGTTTTCAGAAAAAAATTAAATAGCGTCACGTGTAGGACGTTTCCTTGACAGTTACACTTTACTAAAGTGAGTTGCTACATGTAACTGGTGTGACCTTCACCTTTCACCTCCTAACTTGGTGCCTTTCCAGCCTCGCTCTCAGGTCGTTTGCTCATGATATCATTCTGCGTCCCCCACCCCCGGGGGAGAGTAGAAGGAGTAGATGGAGAAGTAGAGGGATACCATTATGAGCAGGGGTTTGGGGGGTTCAGACCCCCTGATCCCCCCTTGGTTGCACTCCTGCTCAACGTCCGAAAAAAATAACTTCCTCTGCAATGCTTTCAGGGTTGCACTTCAAGCGAAATTCGCATTTATGCGTCAGAACTTCAATTAAAGTAATACCTTCATATCAACACCTATCAAGAATATTGGATGTTATCAGACATCATTAATCATATCATTACACTTCTACAACGTCCAGGAGAAGCAGCTCCTTCAATGAGGAGGCGTTAAGTACGATTTTTAATCAAATACCTGGGACCTTTCTTCAACGGGGATATTATTAACCCTAAAACTGGCACTTATAAAGTAATTGTGATAGAAAATTTTGATTGCATTTTTGATTGCATACTTGGAATCCTTAGCTCAATATTAGCTATTTTTGTCATTCTCTTTGATATTTTGATGCTTACAATTTTTATAGGTTCTTTCAATTAAAAATTTTTACGTTTACATTATGTTTGGGTATTTAAATGTGCACTTGTTGAACTTGCTTAAAATATAAAGTACTTCGAATATCAGTATTACAAAGAGAGATACCTTACTTCACATTTAAAAAGGCAAGACTGACTGACTCTCAAAATTACAACCATAAAGCACAGTTTACAGGAACCCTGATTTCATGTAAGGCAGTTTAGTGAATAACAAAGCTCTTAGTATCAGTAGATACAGCAGGTTAAGGTAGTTTTAGATCCCTGCACATTTTTAACCCTTTCAGTCCTGAATTATGCTATAGGCGTTGAAAAAATGTCATATACTTTTTGGGCTTCAACAAGGCTCGTATAAAATAAAAGAGCTTTTAAAATGGTTTCCTTAAGTAAAATAAATATTAATTACATTATTTTCAATTTTCAAATAATTAATTAATTTAATTATAATATTTAATTAGTACTCATATCCCTATGATTACTAAGTCATATGTCTCCCAGTATTCCTGTACCACTTTCCATTATCTGGCTTGCAAAAACAGAAAAAATTGGCTGGGAATGAAATGTATTAGCTGAAATAAATGCAAAAGATGACACCAATTTTGAAGTGCTGGAGGAAATACAGCTGCTTCATATTATTGTGGACTGCTGTCAATTTGACAACATGAGGTGCACTAAAATAAACTGGGACTCAGAATCCTGCCATGGCCTCAAGGTCGTGCATTCCTGTGTAACCCTATAACACATACAAAGAAAATGCAGAACCTTGAGTCCCACCCAGACTGAAAGGGTTAAATGAGATTTTCTGGCTTAAAATAGCTCGACTTAGAAGTGAAGCAGAGAGTTAAAAGGTCAGACATTGAAGACTTCTTTCATCAGGAAGACTAAAGAATGGACTATGCAAATGACCAAGGAGCAGAGGCAAGGCCAGAGGTAAGAAATACACAGTACTGTATATGTAAGGGAACAGGAAGGGATTATGTAAGGGGAAGATTATGTATCTGAATCATATAGAATGGGAATTTGCCTAGTACAGGCTACCTGTTTTTTAAGAATAATTGCAGGGATTCCTACATTACCTATTTCATTTGAGAGATTTTGAGTAGACAACCTCTCATAAATGAACCCTATTCTAACAAAATGCTGACTCATGCAAGAAAATATTAAATATGGAACAAGGAATGCAACAATGTCAAACCTGGGAAATAAAAAATTTTTTGGCACCAAATTCAACCTGAAAGTGACAATATCACAGGAATGAACATGTGACCTGTCACCTCAGACTACTTTCCTAATTTTGACTTCACAAGAGCAAAACTATCATGAAGATCAGTAGGGTAGCCCTGGAAGAGACATGAGGGGTGGTCAAAAAGTTCTGCGAGGAATGCTGTGAGGAATTTTCTAACCTCAAAGGAGCCGACCACCCAGCAGATCTTTCAGAGATTGAGAGGATAGGATCCAACTGATCCTCCTCTAAAAGATCTGCTGGTTGGTCTGCTCCTTAGAGGTTAGAAAACTCCTCACAGCATTTGTCTAAATTTTAATACCCTTTCAACATGCCCTTCGGTAGCACATTGAAAAAAATTAATAGAAGCTATACTTAATCGGCAATTAAGATGAAATTTTGCCAGTCACCATCAAAGACATCTGTCTTCTCATGATAAGAGTAAGAATGATGCATTGCAACTGGAAGTGCTTTGGTTGCAGAACTTTTTGACCTTGTACCTTGAAAATTATAAAATAATTTTCCCATTTCATGCAGATCCAAGCCTTGCACCTCAAAATTTTTTTCTACTATTACTATACTGTCAACTTCATCCACAGAACACTGGTTCTGGGGACTACTACCAAACAGATCTAGACAGAAAATAGTAGCTAGTTCTTGCATTTTAGGAAAACTATTAGAAAAAAGGGGACTCCACAATGCATGATCAATAAAATGGTGAGAATAGCAGACATACTTCTGGGGATTGCAACATGACAAAAGCACAATTGATGAAGATTGACTAAGAAAGAATGCAATTCTGTTATCTGGTCAACCCAGAAAGTGATTTTTCTAGGAGTGAAAAAATCATTCTGAAAGAAGAGAAGGGAGAGCTTAAGAAGGACTGAAATATTCTTACTTTAAGTTTCTCCACTTCCTTTGTCTTGGCACTGAGTCTCTTCAGAGCATGCAAGAGGCCAATATGGAGTTCAGTTGGAGTGAGATCCTTGGATGGGTCCCCTGGCTTCACTTCTGGGATCAAGATATGTATCTCTCGCTGCAAATGGACAGGTTTTTGGTCAATTTTTAATTGAACATTCATCTCCAGTTTGATAAAAATAAACAGCTGCTATGAGTCCTGCTCACCTATGAGGATTATGATGGAATTAATAATGGTAAAAGGAAGTAAACTATCATAAGGCATATGCTAGTTGCTACCAATCATTTTTAAGTGTAACCATCCAAAAATGAGCGAAAGTCTTGTCTTCATTCTTATAACATTTAAGTTAAAACCTAATAAATTTCCTGCTTCCCCAGTGGACTGGTTTTCCCTGACAGTTGCTCATAAAGGGTTCTACTTTAACTACTGTAATTTCATTTTATGATTTTAAAGTTTGAGAAGGACCATCTGGTCCTTCTCAACACTACAGAAACAAAGTAGACATTGTAAAAGCATGAATTGAAAATCAACATTCGAAACTCAACCCATAACCCCCATTCCCCAGAACACAAATGCATGGCCTGGATCCTGAAGGTTATCAATGCTAGAGAGTGATAGGTTATAGATGTTAGAGAAAATAGTACATTTTAGGGGCTTAACAGTGCTTTGAAATCCTCTCAGCATATCCATCTCCTTCAAAGCAGTCAGGTAAAGGGATACCTTTTTACTGTGTCTCTTGCAGTGATTTTCTTCTTTATGGAGGAATATACTAGAGGAATGGAAGACACACAGTCAAGAGGTTTCTTAAACCCTTTGAGCAGTGGGTTACTCCCAGGGGAGGATAGCATAAGCCATAAATATATTGGCTTACTCCTCAAAAGACTGATAGAATCCAAGGGATTCAATGTTTGGGGAGCCTGTGCAGGGATGAGATGTCTTCAAGGTTTTCGGATAGTTTCAGGTATAAATTTATAAATAGCAATTTGCATAAGTGAATGCAACATGAGTCCTACATGAAGTCCTATATAAGTTGAGCCTCTTCCCTAAGGAAGAGGCTCAACTCTCTTCATTGGGAAAATTTTTTCTTCCCATCTCCAGTTTTGAGTGACCCTCACAATAATGAAATTATCAATTGCATTATCCTCCTGAATGAATCCTTGAGTGTGTGTCTCAGTGTATGCCACAGAGTCCTAGTCATCCACCTTCCAAAACCCCAGTTTTCCAGCATCTTGGTAAAGGATTTTTATGTAAAAACCACCAAGACATGAAGTTCTCTGAATGCGTTGAACATCAGTGTAACTAGAATTTCTTAGGATGTTCCTTTTAAGGAAAAAACTGAAAGCAAAAATCCAAAATCACTGAATAGATACACTGCAAACTTCAGAAGCAATGACATCAAGAAAGCAAGTCCACAACTGTCCCTTTGAATATTTCTTCTGCTAAAAATTCATTTGAAGCTTAAACAATTTGAAAGGTGTTGTGCATCCTGAATGGAAGAAGCAATGACAGGTTCCTGAAGTCTTCACATGACATGGGCACCTTGGTAATTACTTGTGCATGTCAACCAACAAAAACTACTAATTGTCCCATGTTTAAAGTCCCTAGGTCCTAAATAACTAAGATCTGCATAATCTTCCCTCAAAAAATGCATGTAACTATGTGTCCCAAGTGAAGCTGTGGGGAGTGCTCCAAAAGTATGGGATCAAGGGTCAGCTACTGTGGGCTGTTCAGTCCCTATACAGTGATTGTAAAAGCTATGTTTGAGCAAGCAGGAGTTTGGATTGTTTTCTGGCATGCATTGGATTCTGTCAAGGTTGTGTCCTCTCTCCTTTCCTGTTCCATGTGTGCATGGACAGGATCTGTAGGCACAGTCTCAGCCTGGAGGGAGTCAACATCAGTGGCATCACAAGAAGGATACTTCTCTTTGCTGATGATGATATCCTTTTAACCCATTCTCAGCAGGAGCTTCAGAGCATGCTCTATTGATTCTACTTCAAATACACTCCAGCCAAAATGAAACTGCGTGTCTCCAAGACACAGGTTATGGTCCTCTCAAGAAATCCTGTACAGTGCACCCTGCATGTCAGTGAGGTCCCACCGGAACAGGTGAAGTTCAAGTACCTTTGGGTCTGGTTCTCAAGCAACAGGCAACATGGAAATGAGATTGGCAACTGCATCTCCAAGGCCTCTGCAGTTCTGCAGGAACTTTGGTGAACTGTAGTTGCCAGATTGAAGTTTCTAGGGGAACTGAAACTCTTGGTTTTCAACCCCCTTGGTGTTTGACCTGAGTCTATCTCAGGGTTCTGGTTCTGTGTAAATAACATTTGACCCGAGTGAGACTCAGGCTGGAGCTAATTATTGCTTCCTGTAAAGTAAGACCCATGTTTTTCCATACATAATTGAATGAGTGGACTTAGTGTAACATCTATTGGGATCTATATGAAAAAACATGTTCAAAGCATTATATACATCACATACCTGCAACTACAAAGAAAGATAAGGCAACAATAATGTGTGTGGTCTGCTATATGGAAAAACTAGAGAAGTAGAGCTGGAACTTGAGACTTTTGGAAATTATCAGTCCCAAAATCACTAGTAAATGCAATTAGATCAGACCTGGAAGCTGCTGAGTTCATTTTGGACTTTGTTCTTGTACTCCTCCAGTCCCTCCAGAGTACACCGAGCACCCATAACTTTCTTCGCAGCTTCATCCAGCTGATTCCTGCTTTCATGGAGACACCTTTCCACTTCAGACAAGATAGGATCTCCAGCCATCACCTTTGACTTCTTAGCCTTATTCAGGACTTCCTCTAGTTTATCTGTCATCTCCCTATCAAAATAGCATAAATTCTTCCAAGACTGTTGGGTGGTCAGGGGATGGCAAGGGTTCATACCCTGTGAAGACCAATACTGCAACAGGAGATTTAATGTCAATTACCTTGCTGTTTGCCGTGCAGCTTCAGCTTCATCAATGCTACTTGCTCTCTTCTTGGCTGCTTCTTCAGCTACCTTCCATGTCTCTGACTGTCCACTTGGTTGGTCCACAGTGGCTTCATCCATTGCCTTTTGAGCATACTCAAAGTGCTCTAAAAATAAATTAAAAAAAAAACCTCATGAGAGCAACATTTCCACATGATCTTGGCAAACTTGGTATTGAACAAGTTTGAACCTCTATCAGATTACAAGAGACACCTTCAGTGTGTCATTTTTGAGAGGTCACTAATACGTCTGAAAACAATGACTCCATGTCTGAACATTAAGGTTTCAAGAGTATCTGTATGTGAATTGACTTCAATCTTCCATGGCAATCAACAAAGTTTGCCTCTCTGGGAAGGTCTCCCATCACATATACATACAGCTATAAATTCACCATCTAAATTTTGACAAGCTCCACCTTCATATAATTCACTTAGGTAATACAATGAAACATAAAGTCAATATTCAAACTATTCTACAAAGATATAGCCCATCTCACTTTCATGAGTGGTTCAAAATTTCTACCTTGCAAAAATGCAAGTCACTTACCGATGTCAGGACCAACATTTTTGCAGACCCATTAAACTTAATGCACACATCACTATATACACAGTGAACTTCATGGCAGCTCCATGGTTTTCCAAATATGAGACAAAGGATTAACTTTTAAAGCATAAAGATTTATTGGGGGTCTACATTGGCCTACAGAGGAACAATGAGACAATAAGAATAGCTCCTACCTCGAATGGCTTCCATTGCCTTGTTGTGTAATGCAGCAGCACTAAGGACATGTTTAGAGACCTTGTCCTGAAGCACAGCAACACATTCACAGAATTTCTTTCGCTCAACAGCAGCTGCTTCTTCTTCGGGATCCAATGGGCCACTAAGTTTTTTAGGAGGATCTTGGCTCTTGGGCTGCCTACCACCCATCAAACCAGCACCTGGATTTGGTACATTTAAGGATGTCATGGTGCCAGACTTCCCAACATCTAAGAAAATAAACCTTAAAACTGAAGATTTTAAAGTATTTAATCATAATAACTGTTATGAAGCTTCATGGAAAGATGAGGTCCATAAGAAGACCATAAGAAAGAAGCATGAACTGGAATTTTATTATGTATATTTAGATCCATATTTAGAAGAACATGGAAAGGAAGGCTTTGCCATGTTATGGATGTGATCAAGGATCTTGATGGCTCTTCTAACCTATTTTTGTTTGCCATCAGTGTCTATCACATATTTAATTTTAGATATAACACATTTAAGAGTAGCTTGGTCTTTGCTTCCCCTTCAGCAAAAAAATTTTTTTTTAATTAGTAGCAAAAATAAACTGGTGAATGAAAACCTTATGAATGATAGATCCCTAAAATTATTTCAAATGTTAACTATTTTCAAAGGCCTTGGAATAGTTTCACTTCTATCTTTCAGGCCATTGAGGACAAAATGCAAGTGTGCAATGAGGGTTTCTTTCAATATAATTCTGAAGATCTTCAGCAAGCAAGAAGAAGCATTTGAATCTGTCATTAACAATGACCCTGACAACATTTAAAAGAGAAGAACTTTCAGACCATTCTGCATATCCAAATAAATCTGTTGTTCTGGCACTAGAGGTCTGTTGATGCCAGCACCCACTTACTTGCTAAGAGCTTTATCATGGAAGAATGCTACTTTTTCAGGTTCAATGATATGCTTTGTCAAAATTGTTACCATGAAATAGTGGTCACCCTGACTCTTCTACATTGATTTTTTGACAAAAACTAAAATTCTTCCTGTAAAACACACAAAAATGCCAATGCAGTCAGGACTTTCACAATGCAGCACTTGTTCGTTGTCACATTCTCAGGTCTCAGGTATCAAACAAACATTTGATGATTTGGTTTGCAAATGACACACACAAAAACTCCTCTAATGAAGAATGATGTAAGATGCCATCTTCAGAATGGTTATTCAGGTAATTACAGACCTGGAAGCAGTCAGTTGGGTTTCTTAACTTTTTTTATTGGTGTTGATAAGACTGTGGCATAGTTATCAACCTTTTTAGCATAAAAGTGAGACACTGACAATCTTTATTTTGTTCAACCTTTTTTCATAAGTCAAATACTTGCATCTTGGAAGTGTCATGAATTATATACTTGCTTTCCTGAGATTGCTTCTCTGGACAACTACCATCCCTGATAGTTTTGGTATCTTCACAAGTCTTGTTACAATTCCTCTGAACTAATTTCAGTTCAATTGAAACATTCTGATACTCAGAGTTTGCTCCTGCATTGAATGCAATCTGATCTTTCTCTTTCTCAGCCTTTTTGTATCACCAAGTACATTTGACATCATTCTCATCTTCAAAAAATTACATTAAAAAGGAGAAGTAAACAAAGATTTCAGGAATGCAATTAATTTTAGGGAGTCCTTTTCAGTGAAACCTGCAGAGGGAGGGGAGAGATCAAAGATTATGCAATTCCCTACACAGAAAAGAAAGGTCTTCCATTCAAGCTAGCAACAAAGGAAATATTTACAAAACCAAACCAGTATGAGATAAAACTCATGGAGACCCAAATTCTCAATAAGATCATCTTATTGGGCTAGAAATTCTGGAAACTGTAAATGTGAAAAATAACTATAACATTAGGCCTAAATTGGAGCTAATGAGATCAGAAAGGAATTCTCAAGGTAGAAGGTACACACAACATCACATGCATGAATAAAAGGGCTTTCATAAATGGATATCTGATGGGACAACTATGATGGGATTTCAAATGTAACCTTCAATATCTCTGAGGCACTATGTTATGCGCCACTCCCATTTATTTTTGAACCAGGATTTAAAATTCATGGGAGCCTGAGAGCCCAAGACTCCTAGATATTGGGATGGATGCATTTTGGTTGCAGGGGCCTCCACCTCTTGGGCTCCTGTGAATTTAAGACTGAATACAATCATGAATTGGCAGTGTGGCATGAAGGGTGTGAGCTATTGTCACCACATCATGCAGGAATCAAGCTTGGCAGACTCAATACATCCTGTGAATATAGTCACAGAGATGGGGGCTGCCCTAAATGGAATGCACCAAGCAAGAGATGCATGGAATTATTCATTTTTTTGGAAGCAAGTACATACAAGGCCGTGAAACTCACCATTGAATGCATGAAAGGCAGAGCAACAACTCTACAAAAGAGAGTAATTGAATTGACAGCAAAATTCAAAGAGAGATGTGAAACACTAGAGGATTCTGCAATGCGAGGTCAAGTAGCCTGCTGTGAGACTTTGTGGGTTTGACTTGAACTCCCCTTATAGATACAAAGAAGAAGAAGAAGCTATTAGGATGGAGTCACCAGTTCCTAGATGGGTACCTACCTGTTTGAGGATGATTTCACATTTTCTGCTATCCTAAGAAATCTATGCCAAAATTCAAATAATTGACAGCTGAATATTTTAAATGCTTGTTAGGCAATATGGAGCTGTCAAGGATATGATTATCAGCCATAGATTTCTTAAGATGACAGAAAATGACAAATTGTCAACAAACAGGTGCCAGTCAAAGAACTGGGGTCTTCACCCTTTATTCATTTGAAAGGTACAGCACAATGAAAACTCTGACATATGGACATGACTAATACAGATGCAAAAAGAGCTAGTGAAAATCTGTGCAATGTGGGCTATATCCCATGGTGGCTTTCATTAGATAATCAATTCAATTCCAAAGCAGTCATCCACTAGCCAAAACATTTTAAAATAATGTTTTTCATGGAAACTTCTGGGTCTCCTCATAGCATATGCTGCAAATTCACCCTATACAGTCTCTATCAAATCTAAATAGGAGGGTTCTACAAAGGGACTTAACTGTTACCTTGAGGCAAGGGAGAGGTACTGGATGATGTAACGCTTCCAGTGGTTTCTTTCACAGGACTGGAGGACAATGCTGGTGGCTTAGTGACTACTTCAATCTCTGGTTTGGGAACTTTTGCTAGTGGGACTTCCTCCAGTGCTGGTTTTTTCACCTTGGTGATCACAGGCATTCTGGAAGAAAGTATACATGACCATCAGAATATACTCATCTTAACTGAACTTGTGGGCCACAATCTACTGAAATTTACCATTGGGGTTCAGCCAGATCTTAGTAGTAGGCCTGTGAGAGTCTGGAAATAACAGACCTCTCTACACTCAACAGCCAGGATCACACATGCGATTACATGTGTATGCCTATGATTATGATATAAGCCTATGCTTAAGGATGTTACAGATAACTTTTCGGGCCAAAAAAAAATCCGATAATTGTTATTATCAGTTTCATCAGAAAACAGATGCAACTGGTCAACCAATAAACCGATATGCAACATGCCCTTTTGCAAGTCAGTTTTTCATTTGGAATTCAAGTGTGACATAATGAATGGGCATCTTCATGTTTGAACTGACAAGAATAGCAGGTATGCACAGAGGGATGCTCTAAAAGAAAAAGTCAGGGACCTTACATTTTCAAACATCTTTTGTATTCTCTGACAATGGTGCAGTTTGCCTAACGGGAAGGGGAAGGAAGTTGGGAGACCTTAAGAAACAAAACACCATGGGGGAAACACTCTGCCAAGAAGAGCTACTTCCGCTCGTTGAGAATGGACGAGTCTAGCATGGATGCATATGCAGGGGAGAACATCTCCCGATGAAAATGTCATGATGATCTGGTCTGAATGGCAAATTGGATCAAGCAATAACATATCCTGCAATACTCCGTCTCCTGGGTTGGCCCTGCCCAAGATCCAGGTACATCTCTCTACCTCCTACTCAATACCGCATATATGTTCAAGCGCCAAGGAATACACGCAAGCGTGTATGTCCACATTAATTTGCAAGTAGAGGAAAACTAAAGCTTACATTTTGAATTTAGTAATATCCTCATTATTCATTTTTTTTTTTTTTACAAATACTGAAGAGCTCCTAGCTGACAGCTGACACCTGACAGCTCTTAGCTTACTTGCAAATTTGAAAATTCAAAAGTTCTCAAGAAGAGATGACCTTGGAACACATCACATGCTCATCATCTCTCATAATTTCTTTGTCTTTCAATGATATTAAGACATTTTGGAGTTTTAAAGAAATTGATTCCATTTTGGAAAGAGTATAACTCCAGGCTACAAGTCCTATTTTGAAAAATGTCACTTGTTGTTACACGTGGGTATAGGGGAAGAAATCAGGGTCAAGTTCAAGACCATATAGATATAGGAAAGAGGGTGTGAAAGATGAGGTTGTTTTTAATTCAGAAAGAGGAATAACAAGCCTGCACATTCATCAGCCTGTGTCATTATATTGATGAGGCAAGGGAATATCTGATCAGGATGGTGTGAGAGAGGGAGAGAGAATCCAAGAGGATGAGTCATTTTGTAATTGCAAAGACAGGTCTCCTGTAATATTTTTTATTTTCCACTTAAAACAACTATTTTCAAGCAAATACAGATTTCCATACTCATATAGAACTTTCTCAGTAGCTTTACATCAGGCTCACTTTTCTGTATCTCATACAGTTGGTGGGAGAGGGACTTTAGAAGATATCCCTTATTCTGCATGCTAAGGTTGTTGACACAAAAACCTGTCCTGGTGAGTGTGCAGCTCATAAATCATGGAAGCCTTCAAACAGTATTCTCCAAGATAAACCTGATTAACCCCCACATTATAAATAACAACACATGTGACTCCCAGACCAATTTAAAATTATTACATACCATAGTCAGAACCTAGCAGATGGGATGCTTGTGCCACAAGGTCTTGCCTCATTCACCTTAACAGAGAAGTGATACTCAATACTTCCTATCATACATCTGGGTTGTAAAGGGTTAAGACACCTCATCACCTCCAGCTGGAAGGGTATTATGGAGCCTGAAGAACATGATACAAGAGTTAGTTTCTTACTTCAACACTTTCTGCAGTGTTCCTTGGCAAAATACCATTGTGGAAGAACAAACCTCTATTTTAAAGAATATGATGGTCTTGTGCTTGAGGATATAACTGATATTCTTTTAAAATTTCATAATACTCCTGCCTTTCATATTCTTCTTCATATTAAATGCTGCTCAGATAAAAAGAGTGCTTAGAATGGAGTAAATTTGAACATATAGAAAACAAAATGAAATACTACAAACCAAAAACAAAGGTTTCCCTAGGAGAAACTCCAGATTTCCAAGGATAACTGATACAATATAATTTAGTTACTTAGATATATAACTATGTTAAATTAAAGCTTCAGTAAATTAACACGTTGGCGACAATGCGTCCTGATGCCAGGATGCAGTTTTTTTTTCAATGAATTGTTTTCACCCTCTGGAACTGTTGAGAACGTTCCAGATTATGATTTCGTAATTACTGATAAAAATTCCAAAAAAGACCATGCGTCCTGATGGCAGGTCGCATTTTTTTATTTAGAAAATGCGCGTGGTCCCACGCGGCGGACAAGCAAAAATAGGCTGGTCGTCAATGTGTTAACAAGACTGGTAGCCTTGAAGTGTGAAGCATAGCTTTTTATAACCTAGAACCACCAGTCTGTACCTTTCAGCCCTTGCCAGAACATACATGGGTTTTGGCAGTGGTGGAGATGATTTCTCTTTGTCGAAGTTGAAAAAAGTGAAGACTGTGCTGGAATAAGGGACTGTGTTCTCAAGCTTCTTCTTGAAAGAGGAATCATAATAGGCATATCCAATTGTTCCACCAAGTCCTACAAGTGTGACACCACCACCAAGCAGTAGAAGGCGCCAAGCTCGAGACCTACAGAAGAAAGGAATCCCAAACAAATCTCAATGGATCCCATCAAAGTCCAAAAACATGGTCAACAAGATCTCAGTTCAAAACATTGCAACAACATCCCTTCAAAGTGTATTTATTCAACAAATAAAACTTATCCTGTGTCCCAATTTGATATCAAATTTAAAAAATCAGACAAAAAAAAGACCTGCTGACAAAGACTGTCACAGGTTCTACCTTACTTGTCTTGTTGGCCAGATGTAGAATACTGTTGCATGGAGTTTGAATTCTGCAAAGCACTGATGCCAGGTCTCCATCTTGAACCCAAAGTACTGGTGAGCTGTAAGAACAAATATAATGTATTTTAAATGTAAATGCACTAGTTCCAGGGAAACTTACCTTAAGTTCCACACAAGCCAGTCTTCATGAATTTTTCTCCCTAAATTTTCAGTTACTATTATATGTTGTGATGAAACCTCTCACATCAACTTCTGTTGCCCTTGTCTAGCATGTGATGATCTCTGTGCAAGCATGCATAACTGAGTCCTTGCCAAAGATTTTCTGGATATCCCCATGTGGGACACAGAGAAAAGTCACAATGGGTTAGGGAAATTTGTCACATTGATTTGTTCTCTCCTATACAACACTTCAGGCCATTATGATTTTGTCAAAAGCACAACTTGCTTCATTTTGTTCATTTAAAAAAGCCAAAGCACAGGGAGAAGAGCAGGGCTCATTTACATTTTTTTTTAATACCAAAGTCACACTATGAAAAGGTATTTTCAAGCCATGGGAGAGATATTAAAAGCTAATGAATAAAAAGCAGCTATTTAAAAAATTGAGAAATTTGTTTTTAATGACATCTTAAAATTAAATTCAGAATCCATCTAGCTGAGAGCAGATATGGCAGACGAGAATACTCAGAGTAACTATAGGATAAAAAAAAAAAAAACAACCGAGTTCCCCTTCTATGTTTCATGTTTCACACTGACCATCTTCTCACCTGTCCCTTGTGCCTCCCCCTCCTGGGCTTTAGATGCAGCTGCATTTAATAGTTCTAAACAAATGTAGGTGGGAGTTTTTCAAATCCAAAGGTTTTTGGGATATAATTTTCGTGATCCTTCATAAGATGGTGCGGAAAAAAATATGTTCACATCCCATGGGTAGAAATAGGATCCTGATATCACCATTCAGAAATCATTCATTTCTTTTCTTCCGAGCTCGCACATCCCAACGTAATGGAGTTTCGGTTCAAGCAGGACCAGGTATGATCTCCAATGCTTCCGATCCTGCATAACGGACTCAAGCTCAGTGGGTAAGATACCAAGTCTCTCGTATGAGCCTCACAACGCATTCACTTTAACTTGTACAAGGTCTGCTGAATGGTTGTCTGCTGGTATTTACGGATTGAGAAACTCTTATTTGGAAGCTTTTCGGGAGGTATAAAGTAGGTGTGTCCCGATACCATACTTGAGATTTTCCAATTTAGAGTAGTAGTTGCTCGACACGATGACTCTCACAGATGGCAACAGTCTGCATCTGACACACCACCCACCCGATGTAAGAACCTTATTTGGACCTGTATCTACAACCTGATTCTTTTTATTCCCACCCATTATTACCCAAAGTCTACGGCCATAAGTGCATAAGTGAGTGTGGGGAAATAAACGCCCTTAAATATTGAATTCCGTGTCCATATATGATTTCCCAATCTGCAACCGCCAGAGTTCCCGTAGAACCAAAAAATAAACATTAAACAAATTATCTGCAGTGATACACATTGTTCCTTAATTGGGAAAAGCCCATCAAAACCATATGCAATAAAAGACCAGCCCAAATAATGAATTGACGGAAGAATGTTCGACGTGGCCTGGATGATTGATGTAATTCCAAGTAATGCGCGAAGGCGTAAAGTCCGTTCGACTACCAGCACAAGATCTTATATATTTTCAGCATCCAACTTCTAAACAACCGCTGATAGCACTGCTTCAACACTGCAAATCCGTATTCAATTTCGATCTGCTGGAAATGTATTCATCTAGGTGCAGGGAGAGTCTAGTGAAAATAGCTCCAGTTGGTGTGAAGGTTAAAAGTCATTGGTTTCTTTTTTTCCATACCCTATTCCTGGCCTATAGGTCGTTGCCATGGCAGCAACAGCCTGAAGTACCTCTGGTCACTCTGGTGTCTTGCTTAGCACCATCCTGATGTGCTTTTCTTCCCGCTATTCTCGCTGCCTGCAGTCAACACGCCAGAAGAATATAACACATAGCCCAGAAAATCGTATCATATTGGGCTTAAGTCCAGTTCGATCGCCCAGGCGATATTCAGTTAATGAATTATATTGGGAGACAAGACTGGCATAGCCAATCTTTCATTTGCATAACAGGATTGATGAGTGACAGTTGAAATCTGTTTTATCACTTATGAATGCTATGAATTGATTTCCCCCCCACCCAAAAAAAAAATAAAAATATTGCACTTATGTTCTCACAGAGCCACAATAAAGTAACTATTGGCTTAAATTATGTCTTTTTCATGAAAAAAAAAACTTTTTCGGCCAAGAAGATATGAAAGTAAGTCCCTCACCAGTTTGAACTTGGGAAGAGAAGCAACACGGCTATGGAGCATCTTCACCATGGAAGGAGAACTTGGAAATGCTACTTCAAGTCAACAGTCAATTCAGATGACTGAAGCAATCACAAATCAAGAATAAATTTTTCTCAAATTTCATGTCATTCTTTGAAATCAAAGAAGACAAGAAAAGATAATCTGAAATGCAACACAAACATGATTCATTATCCTACTTCATCATATACTACCTCAAGATTTCCATCAAAAACACAGGTTGCTTAAAATAGCCTTTATCCTTCCAGCATTAATCCTAAGTGTGTCTCTCATGCATGGAAAGTGAATAGAATACAAAACCATAATGTTATGTGTTAGAAGAATAAAGCTAGAGAGAAAAATCCAAATATCTCAGAAGCCTTGAAACTATCAAGAATGATGCTGTATCCAACAATGATGTTCACTGGACCTTAAGGAGTCATGATGATGATCTCCATCATTAAAAAAATGCTCACAATTTTGATGGTTGAGATATACAAAGTGGTTTAAAAAACCTCCCCCCCCCCTCTCCTTCCATTATCACTTACCAAAAACTCTACTCATATTAATGGAATGGCAACTTTACTTATTATAAGGTATCAACAGCACCTAGTGTAGGTAGGTAAGTATCAAGGTGTACTTCCTTCAGGTATCATAGTTATCACTGAGGGTTGCCTTCACCCACAATATAATTTCCTAATTAAGCAAAAAATTGAGAAAGGTTAACAACTAAATGTTGTTAACCTTTGAATTGATGAATTTCATGTTTCATGAAATAATTCCTCATCAAACCATGGAAGAAAGAACTTAAAAGATAATTGAAAAACTGCATATAAAACTGGGAAAACCAGTTTTAAGAAGATGAGGAGTGGAAGATCATGAACAAGAAAAATGGGAAGAAATTATTTGCAGTCACATGCATCTTCCTGGCTGCAAATAATTCTGCAACAGTTTTAATGATCCTTTCTGCCTCCTCTGCTCTTGCTCTTTTTTTTCCCTCACAGTAAAAATACTGCTAGCTTGATTTTTCTCCCTATAAGATTTTTCAAGATAGCATCTGTCTAATGCTTATTGAGGAACTCTTTATCCCAATCATTCATGATAATGAGGTGCTTAATATTCATGCAACCTCCTGGGGAAAAGGCAAAACCCATTCACTTGAAATATCTGAAACAAAAACAGCAAGATTTTCAGCATCAAGTTTTGAACGTTCACAAGAAAGTTCACACTACAGCTGGAGGAGAAACAAAAATATCCCAACTGAGCATAACTGAATACTGCTTATACAAACTTATTCAAACAAGAGCATGAGCCAATGATATTCACAGCACACATGCACTGATTGTAAGCAAATATCAGAAGGTCCTCCATGAAGTTGTTAAGAAATGTACAAATATGATCATCATGAAAGGATATGGACTTATTGGGTCAACAATGTCCAGAAAATAGATAACTGGAGTTGTTGGAGCACCACTGGTATATTCAAGAGTCCAGAAACAGCATAAATGATGAGTTTCTAATCCTAATTAACTTATTTTTAAAATATGGTAAAATGCTGGAGAAAGAAAAATATTTCAGTCAATTTCCAACAAAAACAGGAATTATAATACTAAAATTAAAAGTTTTCTCATTCAAGGTTTGCAAGGACTGTTATAACATTTTGGTAATGGTTTTCAATGCCAATGGTTCTCAATATCTTCATAAATATAATGTGAAAAGGAATCAGAGGTCAGCTGTAAAATTTGCAGGGTTATGCTCAAGCTATTTACTCACTTTTTTTTCTCCAAGGATTTTGCATTTCATATCAATTCAATAATCTTAAACAATGTTCTGTATGGGGAGTGGCTAGTCACTTCATTCATTTTCCTTTTTCCTCGCAGAAGAAATAAATTGTCTTCTTTCACTGCTTTAATAAATAGGTTATATCTTTTATTCAAAAAAGATGCAAGAAATGGCCTATTTTGGAGAATAATCAGCAGTTACACATAAAACTCCCAGCCACCAGATTATTTCAAAACCTGACTGACCCTTAACTCCTCAAAATATGATATATTACTCAATACTAGGCTGTGGATTCCAGAGAAAATGAGAAAATTATGGAAGAAAAAGCACAAGCAGCACCAGTACATAAACTTTGGCGAACCTTGCCCACGACTGCCTGTACTCCCCATGTCACTGAGCCATGCCAAGGAAATGCATGCAGGAAATTCCATTAAGTCAATTCCTCACCTGTTGGCCATCAGCATATGTGCAATATGTGAGCTATGCCATATTAATGGTTTTATTTTCATTTTTGCACACACCTCAACTATCATGGCAATTTTACATAGCCACAATCCCTCTCATATACTTCACTCCAATATCACCTTGAATGTTTCCAACATAAAACCAAGCTATGAAACACACATATTGCATCCCTTATGTCTTCACAACCCTAACCCCGTTCAACACTTCCCTCATCTTTTTTCACAGAAGGAAAAGAGTGAATTGAGAAATTGAAGGAATAATAGATGAAGGGGGAAGATAAAGAGGGTGTAATGATGAGGAAGAAGGGAGCAAAGTTAGTTTGTGACTGGGTTCCCTTATTCCCTTGTAATTCTTTTTTGATATAGGCCTAGAGGGTGGAGCATGGGTACATGGCAAAATTGTCGTGGGACAATTGATACTGGAATTATTATACTCAGCTTCCCCTTCTGACCATATGGCATCCTATAGGTCAAGACTTATGCAATATTGCCAGGAAATAAATGCATCAGACACTAACATCAATCCTCTCTTCTTCTTCCTTCACTCACTTATTCACTCTCTTATCCTTCCATGCTCTCCTGCACCTACAATGCATGAATCCAAGATGCATTAACTTAATGCATGAAACAATAGGATGTGATCAACAAGACTTCCAGAGATGTTGATATAAATCAGCATAAATTTGTTCTTACTTTTATTCCCTGCTGCCAAAATACCCTGCAAACAATCCAACTTCTGTTGAAGATGTTGTCTAATCATCAGAAATATATGTAGCATGCTCCCAATGTTGCCCGGCAATAGATTCCCCACCTCGAATTACATCTTTCTGGATAATTGGATTATGTATAAATATCCTACAAATAGGAAAGATGACAGGGGAGGGAAATGAAAGGAGAAATGAGTTGCATGCAAAGAAGGTAGGCAGGTGAGTAACATGAGTTGAGTGATTGAGGCATGTGCAAGAAGTAGAGCACCCATGAGTGTACAAGGCAATCAGTACCCATCAGTGCCAGCACGAGTACCCCAATATTCCCCTCCCTTGGGCAGGCTTGCCTAAGTCTTCCTACTCTGGACAGGTGAGAAGGGTGAGCTGGGCAAAATTCATCACTGCCCCAACGACATGCACAATTTTTGCTTTTCTTTTTTTTATTCTCTATCCTTCCCACGTGAAATCCTCCTGCTTGAAGGCACTTGAGGAGGTGAGAAAGATGTCAGAGTAGAAGACTCTGCCTGGTCTCCATCCATTTTCTCAGTTTGTCTCCCTTGATCATGTTACGAAATCTTGTACCTCATACATTCATCAATGATATCAAAGTTTAGATACCTTTTCGGCAAGATTAACCTCAATGACTCAATGACCTTGATGAGCTTTACAGACTGGCTGCACTTCTACCAGTCACTTGATGCTCTTGGAACTCTGCAATTCATTCACAAGAGTAGTTTGGCCACAGCAAGCCTAAGGTGTGCATCACACTCTGAGTGCTATTCACAGTGGCAGTTGCATCTGCAGAAGAAGCTTCTCCAAAATGAAACTAATTAGAGCTTATAAATGTTGAAATATGTCACAAGAATGCCTGGCAGTACTAGCCACATTAAGAGAGAGGTCAGCAGGTCATAGAAATACAAGAAAGTGACTGATGAGCTTTTGGCAAGGACTCAGTACAAATGCTGAACCGCTGAACAACCTATATAAATTCTTCTCTTTTCCTTACTTAATGAAAATGTACTGATTTTACTATTTCTTTCCCTAATGTAATCTCAATAATCGAAAATAACAAGGGGCAAATCTCCTGAACCCATGGGGCCCCAAATTTCCCTAAGTGGGGCCTGGTACCCATGAATGATTATACAGCTAAAGATAGCCTACAACTTCATCACAGCCACAAAGTCTAAAGGTCTACCAAGCTTTCACAGACCCTTGATCATATAGTATGCAACCACTGGGCATCCCAACTACTCAAAGCTCAGCTGAAGTGAATAAAGAAATTAGTTTGCAAGTGGGTTCAGAAACTGAAACCACAAAGTTGAGCAATAGTATGCGAATTGTACATCATAAAGCTGCTAGCTCTCAAAGAAAGAGTCAATTGGAAGGGACTTGAAGAGAGCAATATCTTTTTCTCAAAGCTTGACCTTGGTTAAGGCTAAGGCCTACATATGTTTGTTTTTCAGTAGAATTTCTTGCCTGTACAATAGTTCCAACACCCCTACATGGAAAAATCCATGGGGGACTTTACACTGGGCCTACATTCGCTTCTAAATCAGATGAAAAGTGTCGAATGCAACTGGAGATGGTTGTAAGTTAGGTCAAGCACATCCCCCAACTTAGGCAACCAAAAATGAGGCGCAATTGATGTGTATCAACACTCCGTATATCAGCAGCTTAAAGACTGGTCGAGGGCAAGAGCTTCCAAATCAGAAAATGAGGATTCATCAGTAGGTCCACTTAAATGCAGAAGGAAAATAATGAATTGGGGTCACGATTTTGGCTGGCTTCTTCCTGAAAATTCATTTTTGTAGACATAGATGTTAGGTGATATTTATTTGAAAGCCTGGAGATGATGCCACGATGATGATGTAAGTTTATTTAGGAGGGGGTATGATCTGGAGGAATGTAAGCCGCACGATCCCTAATCCACGGCGGTCCAAAGCAACTGTGCATCGACGCATCCATGACAGAAACCGCCTGATACCAGTGATGCTATGCCTATTGCTGTTTCCATTGAACTCGTTAGTTCTCTTTGAGGAGCTGTACCTGTATGTCTACTTATTACAGCTCTGAAATAAATAAATAAATTTCAAATACATTCAAAACCTGAAAAAGATTACCTTAAAATAGCCACAACTTCACAAAGTGCATTCCCGCCTGTATGTATATTAAGGCCAATATCAGCTCATTGAATGTGCACAATTGTTCTTACCCTCTGATCCGAAGAAAATTTGAT